CAGGGGACAGTGTGCCGTCTCTCGGGACGCAAACAAGTCCATGTCTATGGGGCTGAATTCTTCGCATAATAACTCCACCACCTCAGGTTGGAGTCTCCATTCCCCGGGCCTCAACCCCTGTCTCGACAGCAGGTCTGCTCCTTGATTCTGGGTCCAAGGGATGTACATCGCTCTGAGGGACAGCTGTCTCTCCTGGGACCACAGGAGGATCCGATGTGCCAGTTTGCATAATGGGCGTGAGCTCAGACCCCCCTGGTGATTCAAATAGGCCACCACCGCCGTATTGTTGGTCCTGACAAGGACGTGGCGACCGCGGATGGCGGGCAGAAAACTCCTCAGAGCTCTGAAAACCGCCAACATTTCCAGGCAATTTATGTGCCAAGAGAAATGATGCTCCTCCCAGGAGCCTCTCGCGAAGCGGTCATCCATCCCGTGAGTGAGGCGTCTGTTGAAATAATTTTGCTCCCAACACAGGACCTTGGGACAGGAACCAAGATTTCCTCCATACAGACAGGGAACGAAGGCATCCGCTCGTAACCCGTATCAGACGGAGCGGATTTCCCCTAGTGGAGAATCCCTTGGATTTTAGCCACCACGGGGAAATGTTCGCGAGGCTTCGCCAAGCTTCCGCGAACTTCGCCAAGGGGACCACACCCCCGCGGCTGGTGGCCGGTGTCCCGCGGGAATCCCCGGTGGCGCCCTGAAGCGGAGGACCGCCAGGGAAGGCTCGCCGCTGAACCACGGTTTGTGAGCCCAGTCGTGTTCCGGCTGCTGCCCCTCGGGGCGGACAGTTCGGCGAGGGCCTGCCGGCGGCTAGCGCATACCGAGCGCTGAAGCGGTGATTTTGAACCGAAAGCCACATAGGTTGAATTATTTGTTGATCACTGGCTGCAATTTCATGTTGCTAATAAAGGTTTTACTTCTGTAATTCTGTCACTTAGATTTTTTCCTAATCTACATTTTTTAAAGTAAAATGACTCATTCACTTTTACATAGTTTGTTGCCAAAAACACACACATTCGACCCTTCAAGCTAAAAATGTAGTGTGGTTTACAGAAAAAGGAAACTGAATTACAAAAAACAATGGATTTCACATTGGCTGCTGTATGCAGGTAGAGCTGAAACATGAAAAGTAATGCAGTTTTTGTAATGCCATCAACTGTTAGTACTTAGAAAGCAATTGTGCTATGATTGATTGATGTGGTCCTCTTGGAAAGAAAACTTGCTAGTGTTTGACAGAATGATTTGATTTTGGGTCAGGTTTGCTGTGTTTTGATATAGTTTGTGTAAGTAGAGAATGTTTCTTTGCATTTTGAAATGTAGAGTTGGTGTTTAAAGAACAAAAGGTGGTATCTTAAGTTTAGGCTTCTTAGCAATTGAAAAAACTGTACAAAAGTATAAAAGTATCAAAGTATTTTGAACAGATTTACAATGTAATCATAATTCTGAATGTAAGAACTAAACAGATTGTTTGCACATCACTACATAATACTCAGTCATGAAAGACCAATTGTTGCCTTGTTTAGTATAGTTTAATTAGGTACACGCAGCTAAAACAATTGCAGTCTAACACAATAGGAGGGAGACAAGCTAAGCTGCGGAATTTGTCTCTCAGTCTGTTGCATTGGAAATAAAAAACAAATCAGAATTTTTTACTACATAATATTAATGCAGAACTAGAATTTGTGAAAACTGCTTAAAACAGTTGGTATATCTAATCATTCTGTAAAATATTTCACATCCTAACAAAGTCGCAATAATTTGTTTTTTTTAAAAAACATGTTAAATATGACAACAATGTGTAATAAAACCTATTTTCATGATAGTTGTAATGAGAGCTGAAATTGATAGTAAATTAGTTGATTTTCAGAAAAATAACTGATTGATCATTAAAATTATTCATTCAGCAAAATACCAAACATTTCAGCTTCTTCATTGTAAAGATTTGCTGCTTTCTGTTTTATAACGTTGAAAACTGAATATCTTTGGGGATTTGGACTGTTGGTTAGACCAAATTGGAGGTCACCTTGGGCTCTGGACATTTTTCACAAAATTATTAGTCAATCTACTTTGTGGTACTGTTGAAGTGTATTGCATTAATACAGTTTTAGTTAAGTGACTGTGACTCAGCTCAGCTGGATTCAAGTCAGGATTGATCTTCTCTTCTTCATACCCTCCGAGATACTCAGAGCGAGCAAGTACTGCTTTTGCCCTATAATATTCACTGCGTCCTATCCAGCCCAACCTTGAATATAGCATTTTATTTGAAAGTACAATCTGATTTGATTATGTGTGATGCAGGACTGCGGTTAAGTCTATTCTGTCATTATTCGGAGTTAATGATTGACCCTATCTGTGAGCATGATGCAGTTTTGAGCAATGATGTCATGCGTTTAATTTTTAGCTTTGTGGTCAACAGACTGAAAGGCAACATGTCAATAAGTGACTCTGGGCTGTTTAAGTTTTGGCTAATAAGTAATGTGGAATCAGAGGTGTGATACCAGGATACAGGTGAAAACCACAGTAGAAATATAGAGTTAGAGTTGTGTGGATACATGGGTGAGTGTGTGATATTAGTCTTTGCTGTGGACAAGGAGGAAGAATCGTTAGTCTTTGATCCTACAAAGAGGAAGAATCGTTTTACCTGAGGCCACATAACATTACCTGAGGCCATATAATTATGATAATGGTATGGTAATACCTGACCATCAGGTATTATTATTATTCTAATTCCTTGCACTGGCAGTCAAACACTTTTCATCAGTAACAGTGGGACGTTATCCCATAATACTAGTAGTAGTTTTGATGAAAGTGTCTTGATGAAAGTTTAGTTTTCTCTTCTGTTTCTAAATATATGAAGTTTCTAAATATAGAAGTTTGGATTTTCTAAATAAAAACAAATTTTTTTTACAGACTGATTCCAGTATGTTTAGAGTTGCGATACTTATGTTTGACTGCATTTTAAACAAAATTAATTAATAAAGAGGCCGGCGCAGTGGTTAGCGCAGTTGTCTAACAGCAAGAAAGTTGTGGGTTCAAACCACGATTGCCCCGGCCTTTCTGTGTGGAGTTTGCATGTCCTCCGCATGGGTTCTCTCTGGGTTTTCTTTCCTCCCACCTCCAAAGACATGCAGGCTAGGTTAACTGGTGTCTCCAAAGTTGTCCTTACGTGTGGATGTGAGTGTGAGTGGTTGTCTGTCTGTGTGTGGCCTTGCCTTTTGCCAATGTCAGCTGGGATTGGCTCCAGACCCCCACGACCCTGTACACAGGATAAGCGGTTGACGATGGATGGATGGCTGAATTAATAAAGAACTAGGGCTGGATATCAATATCTGTGCCTGCATCTTGACCCAGGGTTACAAAAGCCTGCTGTGAAACAGGGAAAAGTTACAAATT